GGTGGCCTATATCGACTATCACTTTACTTAGGAAAAGATATCCCAAAAGATACCAAGGACAAAATCATCAAACTAATCGTTGAAAGCGACTGTTGCACAATCCCAAACGTAGGTCAAAACAAGGATAGTATCAAAATTGATATATCATTGGACAAAATACCAAAACTAATTGACCTAAGGTACCAACACAAACTCCACTTCAGATTATCTTGTCACGATCATCACATCATGACAATCACCTTAAAAACAAATGAAGAAAACCTCATCAAACAAACGGAGCACGGTATACTTAATCCAAGTGAAGGCGGCATGAAACCAACCCTCCATCATATTAAACACTTTGGACAGTACACAAACTTCTTTATAATGTACCCAGACAACTACGACCCTATAACTAAAATGGTAATTGGTGAAGACATGAGTTCATCCAGAATATCTTATAGAAATGTTATAGTCACTGTTAGAAGCAGTAGTAGAATACTACACAGAGAGAAATCTCAAAAGCACCCAAAAGAACCCACCACCAACAATAAACCAAAAGATGTCACTAATGCCGTACTAAAGGATACAGTCCAAACATCAACATCAAACACACAAAAACCCGCCCCAATTGCAAATCCAATCGATGACCAGAAAAATCATATTCCATTGGGTGACTCCATTTTCTCACCAATTCAATCAAAAATTAGAGCTACCCTCGATTCAATGGATTCACCAAAAACACCAACTTTTTCCTCAATCCAAAACAAAAACAAATCACCATTGACTCAAATAACAATTGCTAACTTCGCCAAATCAGTTGAAAATAATAATCCACAAATATCAATCGGGTCAATTCCAATTGTGGCCAATAAAGAGTCACAACAAAAACCAACAAAAAAAACCACTACTACCACCGCAATCCCAAATCTACCACCAACTCGTTCTAGAAGCAGTACTTTCCCTGCTCCCAAAACAAAGTAAATGGTTACACTCCAAATCAACCAGTGGAATATCGGTGGCTGTGGTACCAAAGATACATACACTTTAAAAAATGAAAACGTGGTTAATACATTACCTAACAACAAAAACCATCCAACTATCACAATTCTCAATGAACTAAACGCAGTTTATTCGAAATTCCACGACGATCATAAAGGTTCACTAACAAATGTTAATGGAATGGGAACCGGCGTGGCCATCGTCAATCACAACCCAAACATAATTAGTATCAAACAAATAGCTATTATCACTGGTAGAGCTACCATCGCAGATATAACAATATCATCAAATACTATAAGACTACTCGCAATATACGCACCAGCAGATAAGAACCAAAGAAATGAATTTGCTGACCAACTGCTTGACCTTTATAATAGCCTATACAATAACACAAACATTAACAATTCGATACCACTACAAATCATCATTGGCGACTTCAATTGCGCCGATTACAAAGAGGTACTAAACCATCCCGATAAAAATCTGAAGGAAGAAAGCCTAAGCTTATTAATAGAGTCTCTGGTTAATCTCAACAATCTGCACGATATAGATTACAAACTAACCAGAAACACTTTCTCACACAGAAATGGTTCCGGTGATAAACGACTAGATAGAATCTACATAGACAAAAGACTCATAAACCCATCAAACCAAAACCTCGAGATTAGATACACATCTTACTCCGATCATAAAATCCTCTCTACTACCATTAACGTAATCAACTGTTCACCAGCTCCTAAAAAGCCAAGGTGGAAACTAAATCCCCTAGTTGCTAAATCCCACAGTGTTATCACACTACTTAAAGCCCACCTCAAAGCCATATCAATACCAGTCAATCAATCAAACTTCAAATTCCAAAACCTAGAAAATCTAATGAAGGAAATCATCGTCTTTTACAAAAGACACCAAATGGAATACCTGAATAGAACCCAAGTTCAAATTAACAATCTTAAAAAATTAATGCTCCACCCAGATTTAGCAAAAGAAGCTGAAGCAACTCTTTTCTCTATAATTGAAACCAAGAAACTTGAAAATACATTCTACAATGATCTAACAAGATACACACAAGGCGAAATACCATCAAGATACTTATCATCAATTCTCCACAAGAGATCGAAGCAAAACCAAATAACAGCTATTAAAGACGATAATGGAACAACAATAGAAAATCAAAAAGCAATTGAGAATGAATTCCTAAAATATTTTAAACACTTATACTCAAAAAAAAAAGATTGCTCAACAACTCACAACAAATTACTAGCAAATTGGATAATTAAAAAAGATGAATCATGGGTTGATCTCGGCTCACCATTCACCGATTCAGAAATTAACGATGCTATTAAATCATCAAATCCTCATAAATCCCCCGGACCAGACGGTATAACAAACGCCTTTTTTATTACACATAAAAAACATCTAATACCAATACTTAAGTCAGCGTTCAATGATGCTCTTAAAGATCCCTCAACTATTTCAGATTCTTTTAAACAAGGCCTAGTTATCACTCTTCCTAAAAAAGGAGATCCACTTCTAATTAAAAATAGAAGACCAATAACACTCACCAACAGTCTTTACAAAATTTTTGCCAAAGTGTTAAATAATAGACTTTTAAAAATACTACCAAAAGTTATCAATAGAAACCAAAAAGGATTTACACAAGATAGATTCATTATTGACCATATTATAACAATGGAAAACATCATTACTTTCCTCAAAAAATTCAATATTCCAGGAATTATCACATTCTACGATTTCGAAAAAGCTTTCGATTCAATATCCCACGATTCAATAAAAAGAACCTTACATCATATTCAAATTCCAAACAATATTATAAATCTAATAATGGGACTACTAACAGGTTCAAGTGCAAAAATAGAAGTCAATGGACATCAAACTAATCCTTTCCCCATCGAAAGAGGTGTTAAACAGGGCGATCCCTTATCTCCAACCCTATTTATCTTGGTACTTGAATGTCTTGCACGAACAATTATTAATGATAAGAATATTGCTGGTCTACCACTGTGCCTTAATACAAATCAAAGAGAAAAAATGCAATGCTTTGCTGACGATTCCTCTACCTTTGCTTCTAACTACCACGAACAAACTATAATACTGAAACATTTCGATGACTTTTGCAGAGCAACCTCCTCAAAAGTTAACATAGATAAATCTACTTCAATCATTATAGGAGACTGTGGCACCCATTCATCACCAATACCTATTGCTAACACACCTCAACGATACCTAGGCTACTATTTCGATAGCCAAGGTATAGTACGTAA